ACCCGTCCTACATAGAATCCAACTGTCCTCAATGTCCTTAGAACTATAAGCTTCTTGTATAAATATATCATATCCCTTTTCCTTGCTCCAAGAAAATGATTCACCTCTTTTGGCGCTTTCTCTAAGCCCTCTGGCATTGAAAGAATAAAATGTAAATTTAAGATACATGTTAGCCAAGAGGTTTTCTATACGTTGAAGCTTTTTGTACTGCGTACATTATAGGCAGAGCGATATGTATAGCTACTAACATCCCCCTTTTCATCAGCAATCTAATGTGGGGTATGTCTAAAGTAATTTCAAATATGAAACCGATTCCATTTCTTGTGAATTGCACTTTTCCTGTGATGCCATTCCTCATCCACCATTATATAATTCCCCACAAAGAAAACAGTTATAAACCCCACAGTTAAACAAACCCATTTACTCCAGAGAGTAAGAATGTCCATTTCGCAAGGATATAATAGAACAGAGAACTGCTCGATTTACAGGACCCTGTCACCTCATAATACCAGCAAAGAATGAGGATCTTTAGAGTTGTGTATTAAACTCAGCCGCATCAAGCTCATCACTTACAATGTACATTGTGGTGTATGATTTGGCGAACCAACCCAGTTGCCCAAGACCCATAGTAAAGACACCTTGCACCGCTGTAATTTGGTTACATACTGTAGCAGGCAAGGTTCAATCTGCAATTTAATAAAAGTATAAACAATAATAAGTCAACTTGCATAAACTGACATAAAAATATCATATCATGTATCAAATTAAATATACCCTGACAATCCTCATAAATATCTGTTATCATAACAAAGGAAAACAAACAATGCCTTCTTCACTATATATCTGACTACGGTAAATACATGCAACAATTATAGACTCCCCGACGGTGACTTTGTCATTCTTCAAGGTCATATCATTCATGTTACTACTACGTACATGTAATACGCACTACCGTGCACTACAATTACGTCACCTTCATAGTACACGTGTACAATCTTTCACGTGAACAACTCATTCATGTCATAATTTCATTACCTCATATTAGTGTCATAAACATCATATTTCATCAAGCTATATAGCTGTAACGACAATATAACTCATAAACTTTAAGATACCACATTCATTTCTACTTCCATCATTGGGCTTGTATTACAAAGTTAAACGAAAACTTAGGCAACTCTGGGCAGTAAACTATCCCATGACAAGGAAAATCAGCAACACACAAAATCCAGTACGCCCTCAAGCGGCCTAATCCATACACTTTCTACAAAGCGACGCCTGCGACATCACAAGCATCGGCTTCAAGCAGAACGTCATCCTGCACTCCACATTCCGGCCCTCTTAAATGAGAAGCCTTTCTGAACATTTAACAATACTTTGTTCATTTAAAACATTTCAAAATTAAGTCTATCCACAATTGCTACTTGCAATAAATCATTGTTCCTTTAAATTCTTCAACTTCTTATACTGTTCAAGTGACCTTTTTTCTTCTTCACATCTTTAAATAACTAATCACCCTTAACCTATTCAATGATCTTGACCATTAATATCAACATAAAATATCTTAAGAGTTTCTTTTCAGCAAACAACTAAGTAATTTCAAAAGCTTTGACATTTGCATAAAATGCACCAAGTGTATATCAAATGCACTACATAAAGCAAATATCCTTCTCAACATCACCATGACAACCATATCAGAACTCCCAACACTCCTTACCAGAATTTAGAATCATTTTGGAAAACATCGACTCAAAAGATAACTGTAAGCAACCACGCTGCTTCCTCACTATAATTCCGACACCAGGAATGACACTAAAAATGTTTTAATCCAAAACTAAATCTTCCTACTGACTCAGACGATGGGAGAACTGAGAGTGATGTGTCAAGTTAAACATACAACCAACAAATTGACTGTACCGTAAACACACATTTTATGTTTATAAGTAACTTTCTACTCGAGCTTTACATGAAGAGCTGAACTCTTGACCTTTCCTATTTTAATACCCTTTGTATTTGTAACAATGTACTAAAAGGCAAACTACATGTATATTACATGTGCCTTGACATGAGGAATGATGAATTTCTCATTATGCTTAATTCCTGATAATCAGTCATACTTTCAAATAAATTTTGCATATATAAATCAACATGACAACTAGTAGAACCTTTCTACACACAACTCAAATTTTCTGTGTCAGAATATGGAATATTCTTTTACCACTTTACCACTATACTAACAAGAACATGATATGCAAACCAATTCTGGAATAAATTCCATCTTAAATCAGAATGTTAAATGAAGCAATACTTTTACATAAGTAAATATACAGTAATCTGATAATCACTGAAGCTACATGTAAATTGCCATCAAACAACATACACAACTGCACATTTACTGCAACTTAAATGCTGCTAAATGCCATGATTACATTTTACACTGGAAAATAACAAATAGTGTCAAAATTTGCAAATTACTCCATAACTTCAAGTGTAATACATTAATGTTCATTAGTTCATGAGTCTTTGAATTGCAGACAGTCATTTTTCTATAAATGTATAAGTTTATGTCTTCTTCTTGTAAGCCGTTCAGTTTCTCAATTCTCAGTTATCAGTCACTGTTGAGTTGCTATGGTGACTAAATCTGAATCGTCGGAGAGTTCCAGATCACTAGACGATTCATAACTCAACCAAAATTTTATCCTCGCGTTGAATACGAATTGTCACATTTTGACACTTTCACGTAAAATAAATGTTAGCGATATCATGACAACACATTTCATGATAATAACATTTCTGCTGTAATTGGATCCTTCTGATTTCCAATCATAAATCACTGACAAACGATCTTCATATGATCATATCTCTGCGAAGACATCCTCTAAAACACAAATTCTCCTTGATCACAAAATTTATATATCTCAAAAATTTCTCTTTCTTATTATATGATTAAACATCACATGATCCACGAATACCAAATGAGGGCAATTAACAATCTCCTTTCAAAATCAGGCACAATTTCGAGATAGGACGAACAATTACGCTATTCTTTGTCTTGATGTTCGCACTACGGGTGAAGCCTTTCTTGTCTGGGAAAGTTTGAAGTACTCTTCCCAGCAGCCATGAGTTCCGCGGAGTGTTTGCATCGGCAACCAGCACCAAGTCACCAATCTGAAGATTGCGATGCGATGGTACCCATCTTTCTCTTCTTTGCAACTGCGGTAAGTACTTTCTAGACCAGCGCCTCCAGAATACGTCGGCGAGATACTGTATTTGACGCCACCTCCTTCTCGAGTAGACATCTGATCTGTCCGTCACTGTTGGTAGCAGTTGCGGCTTCCTGTTCAGCAGAAGAAGGTGATTGGGAGTCAAGGCCTCAAGATCATTGACATCATCTGATACTTACTCTTGTTAGAGGCCTGTTGTTGACGATGCTCTCAATTTCGCAGAAGAGAGTTGTCAGACTTTCACCTGAGAGCACCTGTTGCTTAGTTACTGCCAGTTGAATGTCCATTTGATTCCTTTCTGGAGCAGTTCTGCGCTGATTTGAGCTTTGTTCCACCCATCTATTTCTCTCTTTAGTTCTCTCTCAGCTCCCACAAGATTAGTGCCATTATCTGAGAGCATCTCCTTGATATTACCCCTGCGAGCGATGAAACGACGAATGGCACTGATACAAGAGTCCGTATCCAAAGAATGAGCGACTTCCAAATGAACGGCGCGTGTGGTAAGACATGTAAACACGACTCCTTATCTCTTCTCCATGCTGTGACCCCTTTTAACCTGAAAGGGGCCGAAATAGTCAATGCCAACCTTGGAAAATGGAGGCTCGTCAGGTAACAGTCTATTCTCAGGCAGGTCAGCCATCTTCTGACTCATCATCTTCCCTCTTTGCCGCCTGCACATGACACATCTGCTAATCATGCTCCTGATAGCTGCTCCTGCTCCAAGCATCCAATACTTCTCACGGAACACAGAAAGGACATAATTTCTTCCACTATGCCCTGCCTTTACATGAACATCTCTCAAGATCAGATCTGACACGTGACTTCCCTTGGGTAAGACGACTGGGTGTTTAGCCTCTAATGGTAGAGCTGATCTCTCTAATCTTCCTCCAACTCTAACAAGACCCTCGTCTATCTTAGGGTCCAGCTTGTAGAGTTGACTTGTCTTTGTCACTTTACCAGCTGAATCGGTCAATGATTCAGTCTCCTTCTGGAAGAAACATTTTTGCACGTAATGCAAAATTCTCTTCTCTGCTTTCTGCATGTCGTCGTAGCTGATCCTTTTGAAGTCCCTCAGCTCTTGCTCTGTCTGGGTTTTTCCTTTGAGTTTCAACCACTGCATGAACTTCAATAGCCAGCTCACTCCCCTCCTCAGCTTATACCAGGAGAAATATGTGTTGATAAGCCTTTCCAATGACTTCTCCTCTGACTGAGTTGTGAATGCACTGGCATTTTCTGTAGGTAGTTTGATTTCTGGATCACTTGGTGGCACTTGCAGATCAACAGGAGAGAAAGGCCATTCCATCTCATCAGCACATAGGAAGGATGGTCCCTTGAGCCATCTGCCATTGAGCTTGTCTGGCGTTAGACCTCTTGATACATCATCAGCTGGATTCTTTTCAGTGTTGACATCTCCACTGCCTGGGCTCTGAGGCATCACGGATGGTAGATATCCTGTTAGCCACAAATGTCCGAAAGCGCTTGTTGTCACTGCGGATGTAATGGAGGACTATTGTGCTATCTGTCCAAAAGACAGACTCATTCAAGGGAAAGTCCAGCTCCTTTCTGATCTTTCTATCCATTGTGACTGCAAGTGCTGCCGCCATAAGCTCTAAGCGAGGTATTGTCATCTTCTTCAAAGGTGCTAATTTTGCTTTAGCCAGAATTACGTTGCAATGGACTTGTTCTCCTTCACTGGTCATGCGCAGGTAAGACACTACACCGTACGCCGACTCAGATGCATCACAGAAATGATGCAGTTGATACTCGTTCACATCATCAAAAGGGTCTGAAACACCTTCTCACTCTGAAGTTGCTCATTAAGGGAAGACATTCTTTCCATTTTAGCCACCTGGAATGGTGTTCATCTGGAACTGGGTCATCAAATCCAAGCTTCAGAGCAGTTAGATCCTGGAGGATTTTCTTGGCAACCAAGACGAATGGACTGGCATATCCATAGGGGTCATATATTGATGCTATCTCACTCAGAATTCCCCTCCTCGTTACAGGTTTGCCCTTGGGGGTGATCTTATAGGTGATGCAGTCCAGTTCTACATCCCATGTTAATCCAAGTGCCCTTTCTGCTGGTAAGGCATCCCGATTCAAATCGAGTCCCACAATGTTTTTAGCTCGATCTTCCAAAGACACAGACTTGATCACAGCTGGGCTGTTGCTTATCCACTTGGTCACTTCGAATCCACCCCTCTTGAGCAGCGTCATGAGTTCAGCTACAAGCTTGATTGCATCATCTTCTGTTTTGCATGAAACGAGACAGTCATCTACATAGAAGTTACGACCGACAGCATCCACTGCTTCTGGAGAATATTCAGTCTTGAATTCTTCAGCTGTATGTCTAAGGGCAAAACTACAAACACTTGGGCTCCATGTCCCACCGAATAAGTGAACACACATCCTGTAAGCCGTAGGATGTTGGATAAGATCTCCTTCTGGCCACCACAGGAAGCGAAGAAAGTCTCTCTGCTCACGAGGGACTCTACCTTGGTGAAACATTGCCCTTATGTCTCCCATAATGGCTATAGGTTATTGGCGAAATCTGAGCAAAACACCAGAAGGTTGTTCGTCAAGTCTGGACCTTGGAGTACCGCATCGTTCAAAAAAGTTCCATTGTACTTGGAAGCACAATCGAAGACAATTATTGTCTTTTCTGGTTTATTTGGATTGAATACAGGGTGATGCGGTAAGTACCAGACTCCTTCATCCTTCCCAAGATCCTGGTCCTTAACCTCTTCAGCATACCCTTCATCCAACAAAGACCTCATTCCTTCACTGTACTTAGCATGTAGACAATCATCCTTTTCCAGTCTTCTCTTCAGTGACTCTAGTCTGGTTAGTGCAACTTGGATGTTATTCGACAGATCTTCAGGCCTCTTCCGAAATGGAATGGGAAGTTGATAGTGATCACCATCTCTGCAAACTCCTTCCTGCCAGGTCTTCAAGGCTTTTTGATCATTGATGGACATGCTCCTTTCATCATCATGAAGGTATTCTGTCCCTTCTAGCTTCCAAAATTTGTGAACTTCCAGGAGCATGTTACCATCATCAGAGATGAAGCTAGACGAGGCTTGAAAACTCTGTAAACTACTCCCATTTCCAAGTGGACCATTTAACGTCCATCCAAGTATTGCTTGACAGCATAAACTTCACCAGGTTTATCTGCTTTAATTTCAAGTGGCATCAGGGCTTCAGGCACATCTTGTCCAATCAGTATGGTTACTTGGTTCTTCTCCGTGTCTGGAAGATCAATGCCACAAAGATGTTGATATTTCGAAATATCTTCCTCCCTGGCCATGTTTGCAGTACTGATGTAAGGCTCGGACGAGTTAGAAATTCAGCCTCTATCTTCTTGTCTGCTGTGGAACCTTTAACCCTCAACTTGACAGCTTCACATTCCATTGCTCTTTTAGGGCTTTCCAGTGTTGAGACCTTAATGACGTTCTTTGTCCCCTTTGTCTGGAGCACGTCTATTAATTCTTGAAGACAGAATGAGTTCGTAGAACCAGAGTCCAGCAAACCTAAGGTCTCAATGCTTTCTCCACCATCTGCAGCACTGACAGTAACCGGAATTATTGGAAGGGCTACTTTGCAACCTCCGGCCCTCGTGGCATTGGAACTAGCATGAGATGCTACATCATAGTCAGTTTGAGTTGATGAGTCATTCGATTCCCTTCTTGTTCTCCAAGATGTAGGATTTCCTGAAGATGGTCTCATCCTTCTCCCGGTATGGAGGAACTTGGTATGCCTTTGATTGCACCCCTTGACTGAGCAGGTCCTATTAAGGATGCACTTTGAGGATACATGGCCAGGTAACAAGCAATTGAAACATAGCCTGTTCTTGAAGGCAAAATCAAAGCGTTCATCAGGCTTCATGGCTTTAAATTCCTGGCAAACGAAAAGGTCATGGCTGTCCTGACACATGATGCAGTTCTTGGTCGATGAATTCACAGAGGAAGTAAACATGCTTGCCTGACCTCTACCTGACACAGATCTTTCCTTTACACTCCTTGCACTTCCTAGACTCTTTGGTCCACCCATAAGTAAGGCTCCAAATACAGGATCATTCAGTTCATCAACTGCGCCGGTGATGATTTCAACTGCATGCTGGATGTTAGGCTGTCTGCCACGATCCCTGATGGTCTTTACGAAACGCAACCACCGGCTCTTCAGATGGAATGGCAAACGTTCAATGACCTTCACCAGCTCACTTCTGCTGCTCATCTCGTGAAGCATCCCAAGGGCCATCAAAGTTTCAGCACAGGTCTTTAGCTGATCAGCAAAATCCCTTAGATGTTTAGGATTGCTCTGAATAACTGGACCTTCCGTGACCTTCCTAATCCAGGCGTCACTGATCTTATGGTCACTTCCAAAGCGATCTATCAGAAGTGTTCTGGCATGAAAGTACCCATCATCTTGATGCATCATGAGACAACATTGGATTATGTCTTTGGCAGCTCCATTACAAAGATGATACAACTTGAGCAGCTTGGCGTTATTGTCCAATGATGAATTTCCGATGACACTATCAAATGATCGTATGAACTCAAAGAAATTCAATGGGTTACCATCAAAAGACATAATGTTGGCACTTGAAATTGTGATGGCTTCCAACAGCTGTTGATGTTGTCTCTGACCTTGCTGTAGATGATGTAAAATGTCAGAGTCCATCTTTCCAGTTATCTTATCATCTTGACTGGTCAGTGTCTGGTTTTCACTTGCTGGCTTCGTTCTAACAGGAGTTGATGAACCTTGTTTGGGAAGGTTCAAACTTGGAAGGCTCAGTCTTTTGCTCTAAGGATTCAGTCGTGTTTCTAACAGGTACATTCTCAACCTTGATGTTGGACTGTACATTGGACCGAGCACCTTTATACACAGTTTCTTCCGCTTCTGCTATCTTCAATCTAGTCTTCAGAAGAAGCTTAGCTTTCCGTTGTTTCAGCTTAATCTCCTCAAGCTCGAGCTCTTGTTGGTCCTTAAGAGCTGCAACTTCTGCGGCTAAGGCAGCTCTCTTGGCCTTAGCCTGTATCCTCCAACTGGCTGAGGTGGTGCTGCTCCCCCTTTGGCTCGCAGAGTCCTCAGGTCTAATAGAGTCCGACTTGTGGTCTTTGAAGGTAACCTCTGGATCTGTGCTGCTACCCATGGCGGTTACGCTCATGATGGAGGATATGACAGTCACACAAGCTGATATTGAACTGATGTGGTGTATGATTTGGCGAACCAACCCAGTTGCCCAAGACCCATAGTAAAGACACCTTGCACCGCTGTAATTTGGTTACATACTGTAGCAGGCAAGGTTCAATCTGCAATTTAATAAAAGTATAAACAATAATAAGTCAACTTGCATAAACTGACATGAAAATAACATATCATGTATCAAATTAAATATACCCTGACAATCCTCATAAATATCTGTTATCATAACAAAGGAAAACAAACAATGCCTTCTTCATTCTTCAAGGTCATAACATTCATGTTACTACTACGTACATGTAATACGCACTACCGTGCACTACAATTACGTAACCTTCATAGTACACGTGTACAATCTTTCACGTGAACAACTCATTCATGTCATAATTTCATTACCTCATATTAGTGTCATAAACATCATATTTCATCAAGCTATCTAGCAGGAACGAAAATATAACTCATAAACTTCAAGATACCACATTCATTTGTACTTACATCATTGGGCTTGTATCACAAAATTAAACGAAAACTTAGGCAACTCTGGGCAGTAAACTATCCCATGACAAGGAAAATCAGCAACACACAAAATCCAGTACGCCCTCAAGCGGCCTAATCCATACACTTTCTACAAAGCGACGCCTGTGACATCACATGCATCTACATGTATTCAGTAGCTACATGTACCTTAATTTATACGTTTTACTGGTTTTACAACTTATAATCTTCAAATCTTATCCATCTATAATTGCGATCAACTGGGTCAGAGGTTCAGCGATCAAGAATCTAAACTAATGGATAAATTTGACTCTGCAACCAAACACAATTTATGTTAAGTAATACACACTTGACTTCAAATTTGGTTTAATATTAGTTTCAGTCCCTAATCCTAAATATGATTTTATGCATGTAGCATTTTTGTAAAATAACGTTAACTCCTTAGTCTTGTATCGGACCAATAAATATGATTCAATGAGCATCAAAATTTATGCCTACAACTAATTTTGCAAACAAATATAATGTTACAAGGTTACAACTCTAGTAAGCTTACACTGAAATGAATAGTCTTTTTAAATTGGTTTGTTGACAAACCAGGAGATAGCAGAATTGTTTTCCTTTTAATTCAGAAGATACCAAGGAAGAACAGTAGTGTTCTATAAACACTGCTGAATTGGGCTTTCCACCGATTTTTGTCTATGTACATGTATAAATATTTTACTTTGTATTTTTTTTTTTTTTTACTATGTATGATATTTTTTATCTGATTTCGGAAATGAAAACAACAACCACAACAACAACCGTAGCTTCTTTTACGTCTACCATAGCGCATCTGGAATTTATCCTAATTCTAGTTCAGAGCGACGTGTTTGCAGATTCCATGTTTCTTTCGTTAGGAAAAGACCTTGAGGAGACGAAAGTCTTACTATGTTGTTTTAGGTAGCCAGAAAATGTCGCCATAGAAATTGAATAAAATTGCAGCTTGCTTATCAAGCTCTACCTATGCAATTCAAAGCGGCATTCCTGGTTTTCAATGATCCATTAATTCAATTTCTTTGAGAAATCGGATACGAAGTCTGGCGAGGAATTATGACTGAGACAGAAAAGAGCCTGGAGCTGAAACGGAGAGGTGCTAAGGCCAAGTTTACACGGTTTGGGAATGCCTTAGAGTTGTACAGGATAGTCGTTCACGTGATGACGTAACCAAGGCAGAAAAGGACTATGAGCAGGCCTACGAAGATCTTCAGCTTAAATATGAAGCTCTAACCGAATTCATCGAAGATGATGCTGTATTTGAGGAAGAGGAGAAGTATATAGATGAATGTCAGAAAGTATTCCTGAGGTTGTAGGTCAGAGTTAAGGACCTTGTTGGAGAGACAGCTGCGGCTAGTCATGATCAGCCTACAGATACAGAGAACCCTTCTCCTGTAGATACAGATGGCAATCAAGTACATAGACCGGTGATGAGAGCAGAGTCATCTAGTTTCAAGATGGAGAGACCCAAACTACCGAAATTCAGTGGGGACATACGAGAATATCGCGCTTTTAAAGCTGATTTTTAAAATGTGGTTCACCGGCAGTATGAAGGTAGAGATGCCCTTATGATACTCGAATCCTCTCTGATTGGAAAGCCTCTGAAGAATATTCAAGGATTGGGGCATGATTATGAAGCAGCTTGGAGACAACTGGATCTACACTATGGTGATCCTAGGTGATCGCAGATGTTGTTGTTAACGACATCTCCAAGATGAAGCCCTTGAAGCCAGGAGAGGATGAGAGGTTTTGCAGTTTCATCAACCTAATTCGCAGAAGCTTCAACTGTTTGAACGAGATAGGAAGGACCAATGATATGAACAACAATCACATATTGGCTCTCATCGAAAGAAAGATGTGTATCGATGACCGAAGGATGTGGTTTCGCATCCAAGAATAAGGCACGTTACCAACTATGGAGTCTCTCTTGCAAAGGATGGAAGTAGATATGGAGGCTAGACTCAGATCATCGGCACCAGTTAAAAATGATGCAAGAGCCAGTGGTGCTGTTAATCAGCTATCGACAACACCAACAAGGACGGAGTACCGATGTTGGATGTGTAAATCCAATGATGGCCATTGGACTGACCAATGTAAGAAGTTTGTGTCCAAGTCTCAGGAAGAACGAGTGCAGCTGGTAACAGACAACTAAGCTTGCTTTATTTGTTTAAAGAAAGCGAGACAGGAACATCGAATGTCTACATGCAAGAGAAAGAGACGCTGCACGGAGACTATTGATGGAGACCAGTGTAAGTCTTACCATCATCCTTTGTTACATTTTCAACGTAGAAGGATTAATTATGATGTTACTTTCATCAGTGGTGAGGAGGCGATGCTACCGATACTGATAGGTGAGGCCATCGTTAAAGAGGATGTTAAGAAAAGATATAATGTTTTGCTGGACTCTGGATCTCAGATTTCACTGATCAAACAGTCTTTTGCAAATGATTTACAATTGCAAGGAAAGAAGACATCAATCTCCATTACGAAGCTAGTTGGAGCAGCGGAAGAACTTGAGTCTTGCATGACTGTACAAAGTGCCAGTGAAAGCATTGGGTAAGAATCGCAAAGTTCATATGGTTTTTTGCTATTGGGTTGCCATGTATAAACGACGACATAGCAGAAGTGAAGATTGAGGCGGTAGGCCGGTAGCCCAGCTGTTCAATCTGATGAAGAAAGATCTTCGTAGAGGAAGTGAACCTGTCGATCTGCTAATTGGAGTTGACCACAACAAGTTCCATGGAGGAGAGACAAGAGAAAGGGAGCGTTACACTGCTAGATGTTCTCCACTCGGATGGGTCGTTTTTGGATCTTCACCAAATCAGATAGCCTCGCCTGGTAGAGTGTTCCATGACCAGTTAACCAAACAAGTGGACATGTCTAGCTTTTGAAGCACAGAGACGATGGGAGTTAGAGGTGATAATTGCCAATGTAGCCCTGCAGCAATGACGAAGTTAGATATGGATGAATATAATATCATCCAAGTCTTGCCAGAAGGATGGAAAGAAATGAATGATTCCCTATCCATGGAAGCGAGATCCCAGAGACCTCCCAGACAACAAGTGGCAATCAGAAAAGATGTTGCAAGGTATTGAGAAGAGACTGCTCAAGAATCCAGAACATAGTCAAGCATACCAGAATCAGATGACCGAAATAGTAGAGATGGGATTTGCTCGAAAGCTAACTGAAAATGAGATGAAGAAATATAAAGGCCCAGTGCATTATATCTCGCACCACGCAGTCGTGAGACCTGAAAAGAAGAGCACCCCAGTGCGTATTGTCTTCAACTCATCGTCAGAGTTTCAAGGGCACTGTCTTAAAGACTATTGGTATAAGGGACCAGACTTGCTGAACTCACTGTTTGGAGTTCTGATGAGACTTCGGGAGAGCTTTGATGCCATTTCAGGAGACATCTCGAAAATAAATCACAGGGTGATAATCCCGGAAGTAGATCAACATGTACATCGATATATATGAAGAGATCTAGAGATAAACCGAGACCCAGACGTCTTCATCAAGACGGTTCTCACCTTTGGTGACAATCCTGCGTCTGCTATGGTTCAGATCGTTTTGAGACGGAAGAAGAGGCAGAGAATATGCAACCCCAGGCTGCTTGTGCTTTAAAGGAGAATACATATATGGATGACATATGTACCTCAGTTTAAACTGAAGATGAGGCAAGAAAGCTGACCAAAGAAGTAGATGAGGTGTTAAGGTGAAAGGGTGGATGTCTAACAGACCACTGAACGAGAAAGACAGCACCTCATGTACAGACGAAATCACCCTCTTGAAAGCACTTTCAGAGGAGAAATTGTTGGGAGTCGCTTGGAATCAAGAAAAGGACTCGTTCATGTATAAGGTGAACTTGGATGGAAGGAGAGATAATGAAACTGTAACGAAGACAATGGTTCTAAGCAACATAGCTCACATCTTCGATTCGATAGGATTTG